AACCAAACCCATGAAGAGTTTGATTTGCCTAAATAGTTAGTTGATAAACAAATATTTTTAATAAAATCAGAAATATAAAAATTCTTATGTAAAGAAGTTAATTCTTTTGGAACCCAAATAGAAAAGAGTTTTGATTTCTTTTTACACAAATTTTCATTTCTATATTCATACAAATCACAAGAAGGTTTTACAAAAATTGTTTTTATCGGTTTATTTTTATTAAATTGAAAACCTAATCCTTTTGTCTTTTGTGATTCTTTTTGAAAAGAAAGTATATTATTAAGATTTTCTTTATCTTTATTGAATTTGCTTACATTCAAACATATATCCTCATATTTTGATTTAAAAGAAGAAATATCTTTATCTAAACTATTAATGCAAAATTTTAAATCATTACATTCTGATTTTAAATAAATATTCTTATTAGATAAACATTCATTTTCTTTAAGCAAAGAATAATTTTCTTCTTTTAATTCAATTACTTGAGAATTAGAAATAGTAGAGGAATTTAAATCAGAAATTTCTTCAAGTAATCTTTTATTTTCACCTTTAAGAAAATTATGTGAAGTCTTTAATCTCACAAAAGTTTCATATAATTCATTGAAAGCATCTAAAAGTTCTTCATTGTCACTTACTTCATCTTGTGCCATAAAACACATGTAAGCACTTTCTTTTTCTTCAATTTCTTCATCTGAAGATGACTCATCACTATCATCCCAAGTGACTGTCATTGCTTTTTTTTTTGTTATTTTGAATGTTGTTGAAGTTGTTGAAATAACTCAATTTTTGCTTATTCTTCAACATTGGACAATTTTTTTTCATATGACCTGGTTTATTACACTTAAAATAAAGAGGGTTATTTAAAATTAAACTCTTAGATTTAAAATTACCTCGTTTTATAAATTTTTAAAATTTTCGTGCAAACTTGCCCATTTCTTCATCATCATCATCTGAACTTTCTTTATCGGAAATAGTATTGAATGCAAGTACTTTCTTGTTCTTTGTTTCTTCATCATTCTTTCTATCTTCAATTTAAACTTCATATGCCATAAGATTTCTGATAAGATTTTCAATCGTAAGGGTTGACAAATCATTGGCTTCTTCAATTGCGGTAACTTTCTTTTCCCATTGTGGAGTAAGTGATCGGAGTATTTTTCTTACCATCTCTACTTGTGTGTATGTTTTTCCAAGACCAATGAGAGAATTTGTGATGTCGGTGAATCTTGTGAACATTTCTCCAATAGTTTCATTTTCCTTCATCTTAAATAATTCGAATCTGTGTACAAAAATAAAAATTTTAGATTCTTTAACTTTATTTGTACCTTCATGAGTTACCTCAAGTGTATGTCAAATATCATATGTAGATGTGGCCGTTGACACCCTATTGAACTCATTCTTGTCAAGTGCACAGAATAGTGCATTCATAGCTTTGGAGTCCAAATTTACATTGTTCCTTTGAGATGTAGTCCATTCTAAAAAAGGAGTTGTAGGCTTCTCATATTTTATTTCCATAACGTTCCAAAATTCGTAGCCAATTGATTGAAGGTAAATTTTCATTCGACACTTCCAATAGTTGTAGTTCAGACCATCGAACATTGGTGGACGATTTGTAGAGTGATCTTCTTTGAATTGTGATGTATTTTTTTACTAATGCTTTGATGCAGGGGGAGTAAAAGATTTTATTTAACGATTTTATGCAGGGGAATTAAAATTTTTATATCTTAATAACATATATTTGTCATCCTCAAAAAAGGGGAGAATGTTAGGAATCTTGACCCCAAGATTAGTTTATTTTGATGATAACAAATATTATATATTGTGTGTATTATGTACTAACATTTGTTTTACAGTATCAGAGTTATATCAACAATTATATTCAAAGAGATACTCAAGACATAGATGAGTTCAAGGCAAAATAAAAGAAAGAAGAAGATATACTTTATTGTCAAAATGTAATTTTATATTTTCTTTGCTTAGAAATTTGTACAAGCCTTGATCACTCACACACATGCACACACATAGTGTTAGTTAACAATAGAAATCCCCTATGCTACCATTAGAGTTTATAGATATTGAGTGAGTCTTAAAATATTTTATTTATACCCCTTAGTAATTAGAATCTGGAAAAACTCAAAAGATTAAAGTTATAGGTCTCTTCAAGAGCTTTCTAACAAATCTTAAATCACCTCATTCTGATACCGGATGAAAAAGTTACAGTCAAAATACTGAAAAGAAAATTCCAGAATCTGAGTTTACAGTGTAGTCGACTACTAAGCAATTTTTTGACTTCACAGAGTCTGTTTAGACTCAGTGTAGTTGACTACTATGACTTATAGTCGACTACAGATGCAATTTTTCCAGATTTTAGGTTTTGAATAAGTGACTGTTTATAGCCGTTTTGTGTATGTTTTTAGGGGTTAAAAACTTGTCTTTTTAAGGGCTATAAATAGGCTATAAGTTCAGAAATTTGCACAACTAATTCATACACATAAGATCAAACATTTGTGCATATTCACTCTCTAGTTTTCCAGATTTTCATGCTAAGTGTAAAGCTTCCGCGGATTTTTATAAGAACACACTCTATTCTTAAGGGTCACGATCCTACACTTGGTATACATAAGCAAAATCAGACCCTACACATATTTCATAATTAGACGCCTCATAGCAGGTTACAAACTCAGCTGCCATAGTGGATAAAACTATGAGTGTCTGCTTAGCACTCTTCCAGGATATAATTCTTCCAGCAAGCAGGTAGATATAGCCTGAAGTAGATTTCATGCTATATTAGCATCCAGTAAAATCGGAGTCAGAATACTCAATGATCTCTAACTAGTCCGACCTCTGATACGAGAGCATGTATTCTTTTGTTCTCTACAAATACCTCAAGAGTCACTTGGCTGCTTTCCAGTGATCCATTCCAGGATTACGTAAGTATCTTCCCAACATTCCAATCACGTACGCAATATCCGGATGCATACATACTTAAATATACATTAGACTCCCTACTACTGACGCATAAGGAATCTGCTGCATCTCTTTAATCTCAAAGTCATTCTTAGGGCATTAATTGAGATTGAATTTATCTCCTTTAGCTACAGGAGTGTTGTCTAGTTTACAATTTTGCATGCCAAACTTTGTAATAACATTATCGATATAGCTCTTTTGTGATAACCTAAGTATACCTCGAGAGCGATCCCGATATATCTGTATGCCCAATACAAAATAGACGTCCCCAAGATCTTTTATCTTAAATTTCTTTGAGAGAAATCTCTTGGTTTTGTGTAATAAGCCTATATCATTGCTAGCAAGCAATATGTCATCGACATATAAAACCAGAAAAATATGTTTACTCCCACTAAACTTGTGGTATACACAATCATCGACTACATTCATCTCAAAACCAAATGAAATGATAGCTTGATGAAACTTATAACACGACTGACGAGAAGCTTGCTTAAGCTCATAAATGGATTTCTTCAATTTGTAAATCATCTTCTTTGCATCTCCCAATACAAAGTTTTCTAACTGTACCATATAAATTGTTTCATCAATATCGCCGTTGAGAAACGCACCCTTTACATCCATCTGATGTAGCTCAAGGTTAAAATGTGCCACAAGTGTCATTATTGTTCTGAAAGAGTCTTTCGATGAAACCGGAGAGAAAGTCTCTTTATAGTCAATGCCTTCTTTCTGTGTAAAGCCTATAGCAACAAGATGAGCTTTGTACCTCTTCACATCGCCTTTCGAGTCCCCCTTGGTTTTAAATATCCATTTACAACTAATGGGCTTCGTACCTTCAGGTAAGGGGACAAGGTCCTAAATGTTATTGTATTTCCTCATTCATGACATCAATCCACCATTGAGATTTAGAACTTCCATGGCTTGATGGAAGTTGGTAGGATCATCTTCCACTATACTGATGTTCTCCTTATGTTCTTGAAGGAATATAATGTAATCATTTGGAACCGCATTTCTCTTTTCTCTAGTAGATCTTCTTAATGGCACAGGTTCTTGAGGTGGTAGAGTTTGTTCTTCTGGAATAATTTCTGGAATAGGAGTCTTGATTTGGATCTGTTTCTTGAAGAATGTCAGGAATGAAAGTCTGATCAATGTCAATAGCAGCTATAGGAATATTAACATATTCCTCTTTAAAGACATCGTCCTTAACCTTATCTCCCCCCCCCCCCCACAACCCCCCCCCCCCCCCAAACTCAACATCCTCAAAGAACCGAGTGTTTTCCGTCTCAAATATTAACTTGGAAGCAGGATCATAAACTTGTAACCCCTGGATCTCTCAGAGTAATCAACAAAGTAGCAGCTGACAGTTCTAGAGTTTAGTTTCTTTTCATGTGGCTTATAAGGCTTAGTCTCAGCTGGACATTCCTAAATGTGCAGATGCTTCAGACTAGCCTTTTTGACCATCCAAAGTTCATAAGGGGTTTTATCAGTCGCTTTAATGGGTACTCTATTGAGTATATAAGCTACAGTCTTTAATGCTTCTCCCCATAAAGATTCTGGTAAGTTAGAATGACTAATCATGCTCCTTACCATATCCTTGAGCATTATGTTTCGTCTTTCGATAACACCATTCATGATAGGAGAACCAGGCTTGGTGTACTGTGGGACGATACCGCACTCATCTAGAAATTTAGTAAATTGTCCTGGACGTTGTTCACTTGAACCATCATATTTGTCGTAATACTCACCTCCACGGTCAGATCTGACGCTTTTGATACTTTTGTTGAGTTTGAGTTGGTTCTCAACTTCAGCTTTGTAAGCTTTGAACATGTTCAGTGATTGAGAGTTTTCATGTATAAGATAAATGTAGCCATAACGTGAAAAATCGCCTATGAACATGATAAATATTATTGACCATTCCAAGAAACTATAGGGAATGGTCCGTAAATATCTATATGTATCAGTTCTAAGACGTCTGTAGCCCTGTTAACATTGAACCTCCTTATGTTTGTTTGTTAATTTTTTCTTTACACCTCGAGTGCTTAATTGCAAGGTTTCATGATATGAAGTAACTATATCAAGCAAATAAAGATTATCAGCATAAGATAAAGAACCGGTACCAACCAGATTTGAATTCTAAAAAAGACTAAACTTTCCATTTCCAAAAGAATAAAAATAACCAAATTTGTTCAGCACAGAAATAGAAACCAAATTCCGTCTAAATGACGGTACTACATAAGTCTCTTTAAAATCCAAATAACAACCGGATTTTAACAATAACCTAAATATCTCAATTGCCTCAACTTCAACCTTCTTACCATCGTCCACATAGATGTATCTTTTACCATCACTTAGCTTTTGGTAGCTTAGACAATGTTACATAGACACACTGATATTAGTTATGGTAGCAGAATCTAACAACCACGTGTGTCTAGGTACCGAAGATAAATTAACCTCAGAACAAACAAAATTAAAAAGTATACATTTCTTTGCATGTCATGCGTGATAGTTGGTATAATTTTTCTTCTTATGTCCTGCAGCCCCACAGAAGAAACAACCATCACGGCATCACCATTATTTGCCTAGTGTTATTTCTTTTGTGGTTGAGCTTATGCAACTTTCTTATTTTCCATTCTTTTCTTCCCTTTGTCCTTGGAAGTACTAACCAAATGAGCACTTTATGTCTTCTCTTGCTTCAACATTTCCTCTTCTTGCACACAATGTGAGAGATAAGCTCATTAAGAAAATGAAGTCTCCTTTTGACAATTATAGCTCACTTTGAATTGATTGAATTATGTGGAACGAGATATAAAAAATAAATGCACAAGCAAGTCCTCAGAGAGTTCAAGTTTAAGTGCTTGCAGCTTTGAAGTAATATGAGACATCTTCATGATGTACTCTCTAATGTTCCATTTGCCCTTGTATCTCATTGAGATAAGATTTGTCAAAAGTGTACTAGTTTCAGCCTTTTTATTCTTAGCAAATTTTTTCTCAATGTCCTCAAGGAACTCTTTGGCAGTAGTTATCTTCTTAGACATAGTACCCTTGAATGCTTCTGGAAATGCCCTCTTCATGATCATTATACATATGAGATTTGACTTCTCCCACCTCTTCATGTCCCTTTTCTCATCAGTACAACTTTTGTCCGTAAGAGGTGTAGGAGAAGGAAGCATTAACGTAAGGTTGAGATCCATGACTCCGAGAACTATCATAACATTTTCTTGCCATGACTTGAAGTTGATGTTGTTTCCGCCGAAAGTTGATGTATTCATTGCGGCATTCATTACAACTTCAGTCGTTACAATAAAAATAAAAAAAGATAGTCTTTTTATAAGACTCCTACACAACGAAAAAAAATTACAACTCTCGTCAAAACAAACGTAGAGAGATCGTTTATCGATCTTCTGCTTATGCGGGATCTCTGCCTATGCCGGGGACATCGATATCCGTGGACCGCCTATGGATCAGATTCGGTTGTCGGAAAATTGATAGAGCTCCTGTCTCACTAACGAAGTATTTTCTTGAAGCGCTGAAATCGACCAAGCAAAATCAGTAGCTCTTCTCGAGATTAAGACCAAGCCTAATCTCGAGAAACGGACGGACGGGGGAAGATACGGGTTCAGATCCTTCGAAAGCCTTCCTCTTTATGCTGAAGTTCGCCGGGATCTGACTTGTATTCGTTATAAATTTGTGCTCCTTTGACTCCTTAATCCGGCAACACCTCGCCCTCTTGATAATAATCTATCCCTGTGAATTGAGCTCCTAGGCCTGTATTTATAGGCTTCGGTTGAGGGGGTTTTGAATAAGAATGAGTGATTTGATCTTATCTTCAGTTAATAACGGCCTAACCACGTTTGTATATGATATCTAGGCAATTAGGAACCTCTGGAACAGAAGAAACCGATCGAAACAGCCTAAAAATGCGTTTTAGAGGTTACAGACAGTTCTGGGCGCGAGACGGGTGGATCCGACCCTCCGCCGCGCGAGACGGGTGGATCCGACCCTCCGCCGCGCGAGACGGATGGATCCGACCCGCCGCCGCGCGGGTCAGTTTGAGATATCTTCGGTATTTTGGTCTTAACTCTCTAGTGAACAGAAGAAACCGGTCGAAACAGTCTAAAAATGCATTTTGGAGGTTACGAGCGGTTCTGGGGGTGAGACGGGTGGATCCGACCCTCCGCCGCGCGAGACGGGTGGATCCGACCCTCCGCCGCGCGAGACGGATGGATCCGACCCGCCGCCGCGCGGGTCAGTTTGAGATATCTTCGGTATTTTGGTCTTAACTCTCTCGTCCGACCTCGGATTGAGCTTGTTCAAGATACGTTGGAAAGCTGATAAAGATACCTACAACTTTTATCTTTTGAGTTTCCTCAGATTCAAATTGTAACATGGTATAAAACTAAATACCTCTTCTTTTTGCGGGCCACTTTGAGGTGTTCGACACTTTCTGACTTCTCCGGACTTGTATTGCTTATTTCGTCATTCCGTTGACTTGCATGCTTTGTTAACTTGTTTCACTTGCTTGTTATGTTCTTTATGGCACTTTGGATCTGCCTGACGGGCACATCGGGCACTTTGTTCGCCATTTCGTTTCATGCGCTTGTCGACGTCAGATAATCCTCTTAGACTCGGACAACGACGTTCGTCGTCTTCTCTCCATCTCGAGCTATGTGCGGACACCCATATGCATTTTTAGATGCCTACAAATGTCATTTAGCATAAGAATGGAATTAATGTTGATAATGATGTTTGAAGCAGAACTAATAGTTGAGTCAGAGAACAACATAAGAAAATAAATAAGCTCACATAAGAAACCAACTCAAAATTTATGAATTCAAAATTGACAATACACATCTCAAGATGCCTAACACAACACTAATATTTAGTGTTTGGATAGAAATATTAATTTGTAAGTGGTACTCTTGGTGTAGTGATCAAACATTGATAATAAGACATGTTAAACAGTAAACCTTTCTTTGGACCGATTTATTGTTCACATGTTAAACCAAATAATTGTCACATATTTATCACCACAGATATGCATATGAGGACCGATTTATTGTTCACATGTTAAACCAAATAATTGTCACATATTTATCACCACAGATATGCATATGATTTATTCAAATATTAACCTTCCTTTGGGCAAATAATTGTCACATATTTATCACCACAGATATGCATATGATTTATTCAAATATTAACCTTCCTTTGGGTTGATTAATATTTGCATAAACAATACACACATTACCATTTTGATATTTAAAATAAACTGACCTACACAAGAGAGATTAAATTGGTAACATGTTATTTCAATCAATTCTTTTCAATACGTCATATACTTTAATAAACTTTAATGCCAATATTTTGAACCCAATAAAATAAATAATAGAAAATAAACAAAACAAAACAAACAAAAATTTTGTTCAGCCCGTGGGGTAATGTGTGCTGGCCTGCCTGTTCAACACAAATTGTGAGATAAATAATGTTAGGGGCACACCACCAACCATAATCCCAACCACATCCCCCTCCCTCATCGCTACAGTAAACCGGGCCCCACATTAGATTTTAAAATTTTAAAATCCAATGTGGGGCCATGTTTACTGTAGCGATGAGGAAAGATGTGTGGTTGGGATTGTGGTTGGTGATGTGCCCCTAACACCACGCTTGTGAGATAAGTAGGCCGGCCTGGTTTCTTTCAAATTTTCTTTTTTTTTGATTTTCTTAATGGGCTAGCTATGGGCGAACCACTTTAATTCTCTTTTTTAATAGAGAATGGGCCTGTTGGAAAAGCAGCGCACTAAAATAAGGAAAACAGTACTGTAGCAAAAAACCAACAACAAAAATTCGTGGCACTTGCAAAATCGGTGGTACTGCAGCAATTTTCTTCGTCGGTGCTGTAGCGGCGCTGTAGCAGCGAAAAAATTCACAGCACTGTAGCAAGCTGTACTGTAGGATTTTTTTTGAATCCTAAACCATGAACAATATATATAAAAGTAAAAACTACCAAATATTATTCTCAAATTAAACAATTCAAAAGAGAAGATTGTTAAATTTGAGAACATACAAGAGAATCACATCACAAATTAAAATTGATTCTCAATATACTAACATGAACACCGCTCTGATATCAATTGTTAGATCAAGAAAAAATAAACTTTTACTTTAATAGATAAAACCCTAATCGATGCCAAGATCGTTCATGTCAAACTATTGAGATAATGGAGAAGATGCGGAACCATACCTGAATCCATGGAGTGGGATGTGAGTCTTGAGTTTTGAGATGTAGATATTCCAAATTTTGTACGTGTTATATTCTCCTTAGAGAAACCCTAATCCTTCTGAAGATGAGAAATCAGAAAGAGGGTCTACGTCGAGGTTTGGGGAACCATAATCCTATTTATAACTGATATCAGTTATTTATAATTATCAATTCAACCAATCATATAATTAATAATTATATTTTGGTCTCTACACATAAGAGACTCATACTTTAATTATACATTAAAAACCCAAGCCCTAAATTAGATCGCTTTAATGAGCTAACCTTAATTGATAGGACATAATACATATTTATTTAATATATTGGATTTAAATCCAACAAAATGCTGTTTAAATATTGAGGTAGATGTAAACCAAGTTACTGAGGTATAATCAAATCATAAACCAAACTAGGCCCCGCCAATGTACAAGTTTATTTGATATGTCTGTGTGAAGATGTTATGAATGCTAACAAAGCGACATATTACGTTTTTTTTTTTAATTAAGATGCATGAACAATAAGGGAAGATAATGAGAGAGAAAAAAAAGAACCTTTTGAATTGGTCGTTGCGTCTGCAATCTGCAAGCTTTGATTCTTCTCTCCGTATACCTGGAAGCTACTCGAACAAGGAACATTGCTTTCCTACCGTACTCCAGCAATTTATTCATCTCTTGCCAAAAGTTATTCGAATTGTTTATAATTTAACATGGCGGGGGGCGAGGGGGGTTGATTTTCCACGTTTCATGAGAACTTGAATTTTTGTTCATCAAAAGCAAATTAAATTTAAGCTAAATGCAGTAAATGACACGTATATGTTTGATAGCCGCATAACATCAAACACTTCATCCTCAACCCCAAAAAAAATTGTCTCAAATTTTGGTTTCAAAACACGCGAGTGCTTTCATCCTGCACACTGTTAGTGTGATTATCATTTTCTCATAGATTAATTGGAAGAATTGGGAGTGTATAAATTTTGAAGAGATAATACATACTTTAGACGTGGTGGAGATCAGAGGGCAATTTGGTCTTTTCATCCTAATGCTTTTGGTCGGATGCGGTAAATGAGGATTTACAGGACAGAAGGTAAAGGGTGGCACTAGAGGCACACCCCCGGCCACAACTCCAACCACACCCCCTCTCTCATTTGCTACAGTGCACCGGGCTCCACATGGGATTTTAAAATTTTAAAATCCCATGTGGGGCCCGGTGCCCTGTAGTAAATGAGAGAGGTGGTGTAGTTAGAGTTGTGGTTGGGGGTGTGCTTAGGGGTGGTAAACGATCGAATCGAATCGAATACTAAGGTGTTCGTATTTGTATTTGTTTAAAATTATCGAATTCGAATGCGGACTCAGATATTCATATATCTAGTTTTTCGAATTCGAACTCGAATACTTGGTATTTGATAAATATTCATGAATATTCACGAATACTTATCGAATATTAGAGTATATTTATTCTGCTAAAAAATTTGATTTTCAAATAATATTAAAATTCATAAATAAAAATTATTCCTTTTTAATATATGATGTATATATATTTAAATTAAAATTTTAATTAGAAAATAGATTTAAGATTATTTTATACTTAAAATCAGTATATAAAAGTTAAGTAGAAATGGTAAGTGAATTAAAAATATGACATCATATGTGCAATAATACAAATAATAAACTGTGATTAAATTTTAAACGAATATTTAATAGACAAACGAATCGAATATACATCTGGTTAAATTCTATTCGTTAGTAAACTCGAATACTAAAAAATATTTGTTTAGTAGTAAATGAACTACCGAATCGAATATGATCGAATAGTTATTCGAACAATTATCGAACTATTTGTTAATTATTTGGTTCATTTCCACCCCTAGGTGTGCTTCTATTATTTTCCGAAGGTAAATGGATTCACCTTGTTTGAATTTTTTTTTTCCATAATGTGAACGGAGGGAAAGGGACCATCCATTAACCTCCATTTTGTATAATTTGGTTCCCCAAATTTGAGTGTGTAGAGGAAGTAAAGATTCTGGACCATTATGATAAAAATTCAACAACTGATAAATGATTCTTCTCAGTTCTCTTTACCAAACTCCCAAACATGATTATTACATTTTTTCTTTCGTTACATAATTACATTCCTTTCGTTTAATTTTCCTTTCTTTCTTTTTCTTTTCCTCTAGTAAACTCCCAAACATAGCATAAGTAAAGGGATACCGTGACGATTTGAAAAAAATGAATGGATGCGTGCTGGTGTGGGTTAAAAAATGGAAGATTTGAATCCAAATGCGTCTTTTTTTTTAATGGAAAACCCAAATGTGTCTTTAACATTTGAAATTGAAAAATTAAATAAATTGCAAGTAACCATTCTCATTTATATGTTCGACAACATTTTTTCTGAATTTGTTTATTAGCCTTTATTATTATTATTATTATTATTATTATTATTATTATCATCTTTATTATTTTGAAATAATAAGCATAGCGTTTTTTGATGTCCTGAGACCCACCAGCAAGATTAGCGGGTAATCCCGAGTTTAGCAATTGGGGCTTAAGGTTGATATGAGTTTCCTCATCTCTTTTTGAAGGCCAGTGCCCTATCTACATAAGAGAGCTGCACAATAACACTTATTACAGGATCGGAGTTGGGTTTTTCGGTGGTTTCTCCGATGGTCAAGTTAGTATTTGAGCATAAGTGAAGAAGATACCAATAAACTGAAAAAAATAGTTATCTCCGATGGTCAAGTTAGTATTTGAGCATAAGTGAAGAAGATACCAATAAACTGAAAAAAATAGTTATAAGTATGCAGAAGTTGCATACTTGTGGCCTCCTCGGGCTTCCCCATCCAGCCCCCCAGTTAGTAAGCAATGAGACCCTATATATACTCAGTTGAGAGGGGGTAAATATATAACTGTGACTGAGTCCAGGCAGGCAGCTGGCTCGACGGACAGCTGACAAGTTTCGACCGAGTGACATGGCTCATCCAAGTCGTCAGTATAAAGTGACAACAGCTGCTTGGTGCTGACGAAGTCTAATGAATCATAAAGTCTTTTGGGACTGGAACAATGATGATCATTAACATGATATTTAATGATGAAGAATAGGTCGACAAGTTCGCCTCTTGAGTCGGCCACGCAAGATGTCGACTCAGCTCTGAGTGAATGAGGGTGGTCGACTCGATTAATGAGGTCGAGTGAGAGCTAGTCTTGACTCGGCCTAGCCCAGGAGGAGTGGAGCGTCCAGGCTACCTGAGTCGCTCGTGGTGAGGGTGAACTAGTGTGATTGATTAATGCTGACATGGGACACGTGTCAACTCCAAGAGGAGAATTAACACTTAGATTAATTGATGTCATCATAGCGTTGGTTGCTTTTATTTAGTCTAAACATACACCTGAGGGTATGATACAAATAACATAAATGAATACATTTGATAATTCTTGAGGGGGACCAATGACCACATTTCGAAGGATGCAGCATATACGACGATAGAGTGAGCAGCTGCATTGAGGGAACTATGTGTGTAGGAAATTGAATTGTTTTTTTAATAAAAATGAATTATATTAGAAAGGGTGTTGGTCATAATGGTACGGTAATTATTTAATCAATCCTGCTATTTGGCTCGCAAAAGCCAGCGCGCAGCCAGCGCGCAAGAGAGAGGAACAGGGGGGTGGGCCCCACAGCTGTGGGGCCCACCCCCCTGTTCCTCTCTCTTGCGCGCTGGCTGCGTGCTAGCTTTTTGCGAGCCAAAAAGCTTTTTCGTTATTTAATAGGTGCCATCTTCAAGACATACAAAACAACCATCCGCAACTGCTTGTCATTTTCGCTTTGAAGCACATAAGTTTATATTTTTGCTTTCGTTTTTTTTCCAAAAGACATGTGGCTCAATTATTGTAATATTTCTATATTTATATGAAATACCTGGCTCAATTTGTTTGTATTTAGTTTTTTTTATCTTTGGATAATAGTATTTATTTCCATGTTAACAAAATCCTAAGTCAAATTCCGACGAAGGTAAAATTGGATCTTACATTCAAAGTTTCCACCCAACGAAAGAAAATTGTAAAAGCAAAGTATTTTAAAAAATGGGAATAATGGGCATCACTGTCACATGACTTAGAATGAAAAATGTTGCGTTAAATCATTCTGCATTAGGAAAGTAAGTACTCTGATAATTTATAATTTTGATAGAATTTTATGGAAAAAGTTAGTAGGACTTTATGTAAAAAAAAGCAATTAGAATTTGGCACTTTACTAGTTTCACCAATCTAAGTGTGTTTGATCTCCAAAATTTAACCTTATTATCCAAATACAAAAAGAAACGACACATTTTCAAAATTTCATGTGCCTTGCAAATTCACACGTTAAAAAAAAAGAGTACATTTTAAAAATTCAAGTAAACAATAAAGATATCCCAAATACCCATAACAGATGCACATGACCAAGTTCCCCATTTGTATCCAAATACCAAATCTTTCGGATCACAATATTCGCATCTTGTTCGGGTACGGTTCGAACTCCGACCCGTTAAGGCCCCTATAGTTCGAAGTTTTGGCGGAGCGAAAATAAAAGGGAGGAAGAAAAAAAAAGGGGGAAAAAGAAAGAAAAGAAGAGATCAATAAAGGGAGAAAATTATTGGATCCATTTGTTTGCGGAGAATCCGATGGCGATGAATGAGAAGAAGAGGAGGAAGATAAAGGGCATCATCAGCGAAGACGACACCATTACGCTCCTTCAAAGGTCTCTCTGTTCTTGGTTTCGCCTTTAAAATTATGGCTTAGGTTTAAAGTTTGATTTTTTTGAGTTGAAATGCTTGATTTTGATATAAAACCCTAAAATTGGTGAGATTAGGTTGGAATATGGGTTAAATTTGAGAAATTAGGGTTTATATTGGGGTTTGTGCATAATTTGGTACTTGGGCATCAGTCCTTTCTTCAAAATTAGGATGTTTAAATGTAAAGAGTCCAAACACATAAATGTGTTTAGGATTTGTTGGTTATTTTCATTTCTTTGTTGTGCGCGACTTAAGTAGTTTTATTTGTTTTCAGTTCTTGAAAAACGTCTGAGTCTTGCTCAATGTGATTTGGGTTATTTGCACCTAAATACCCCAAAACAAAGGTTACGCCTTCTTCAAGATACCTGGAAGAAGACTTTTTCAAAACAGACCCATTCCCATTTTTTTTTATTTACCAAAACCGACCCGATTTTGTAATTAGCAGCTTAATCACCATCCTAAACAGTCGGGTTGCCAACCCTGACTATTTAGGAAGGTGTTAAACCCTAATTAGAAGCCTTAAACCCTAAAAATTAATATCCTAAATAGTCGGTGTTGCCAACCCCGACTGTTTAGGAAGGTAATTAAGTAGCTAATTACAAAATCGGGTCGGTTTTGGTAAATAAAAAAAAGGGTCGGTTTTTAAAAAAAAAGGGGAATGGGTCTGTTTTGAAAAATTCTTCATACCTGGAAGGTTCTGGCCCAAAAAAAACCCCAAAGTACAATTTAAAAAAATAAATAAAAAATAAAAAGAAAAATCATAACCCCGTTAATCATATTAGAACATCAGACTTCAACTTCTTTTTTTACTTTTGGGTATATAGG